AACAATATTTAAGTTACAACAAATATTCAAAAAATGTATAATAATATATTTACTTTAGCAAACAATAAGGCTAATATAACATTATAAAAATATTGTCGTTTTATTTTATACAGGTTAAAAAGTCACATATAAAGTTGTTTTTAAAAACTTAAAAATTTTTTTTATCAATGTTTAAGTTTTGTTTTAACAAACATTAAAAATGGCGTCGCTAAATCAGATAATTTGTGTTTATAACATCTTTATGTTGGAAGCAAATATAATTTTTAAAACGTCAATTAAAAAAATGAACATTTTCTGAGTTGTCAAAATTATTCTGTAATTAACATTATAATGCTTAAATAGATTATTTTGTCCACACTGTAATAACACTTATTTATTTGTATATAAAGATATTATAACATTAGATTTAATTGTGTTGAATGTAATTTAATATTTTGTGTAACACCACAAATAAAAGTTCAATTGGTGATTTAATAAATCAAATTACAACAAATATTGTTAGTTACAATGTGTTATCATCATTATACGTGTCCTTTAACTGTTTGTAATTTTTAAAAGCTTGTTCTCGACCTTCAAATTCTGTGTCTAACTCAGACACGTCGTCTTCAACTTTGTCACATTCTCTTGTTTCTCTTCGATTTAAGTTTTTATTATGGTCAATTCTTTTAATGCAACCTTATAGTATTAACCTACTTTTGTTTAGCCATATGTTTTTTTTTCAAAAGTTTCAGTTTTGATCAAGATTTTGGCAAGATAATTCTCATTTTTTCTTTGATCAATTGGGTCTTTGTTTAGTCTTTCTTCTTTTGATCAAGTTCAGTTAAAACTTTTTAGAATTTGTTTTGGTTTATTGTCCTCGAGGTCTTTCTTTATGATAATTATTAATAAAATAGTAGTTTATTTTTATTTTAATAATAAATCTGTTATTGTTTATAAACTTGTTTCATAAAAGCGTCATTTTTTCAGTTACGATTTTGTGAAAAATATGATAATAATCAAAAATGATTTTAAGTACTTTGGTTATTAGTTTTGCAATATTTTGTATT